GAGTCTCAGGCTTCTGGCTAAATTGAGGAGAGACGGTGGGTGCAATGTTAAGGGAAAAATAAGTTCAGTCTGGAATATATTTGAGGTTTCTGAGGTCATCTGGACATATGGGCCCAAAGTTTAAAGGTTAGAGTGTGTGCTGGGGATATAGATTTAAGGATTGTTGTAGAATCTGTGGGCATGAATGACATTTCTCAGAACAAGCAAAGGACCAAGAACTGAACTCTGGAACAGAACAGCATTTAAAAAGCGGGTGTTGAACTGACAAGATGACTCAATGGATAGAGATGCTTACCACCAAACCTGACAAGCTGAGTTCTACCCCAGGATCCATATGGTGGAACGAGAAAACCCACTCTCTCAATTTGACCTCTGACCTCCATATGCATGTGTGTACAATGTAATTTTAAAAATTAAAACAGGGTCTGAAGAGATGACTCAGCAGTTAAGAGCACTGGCTACTCTTACAGAGGACCTGAGACCAGCCTGGTCTACATAGGGAGTTCCAGGTCTGCTGGGGCTACAAGGAGACCCTGTGTCAAACAACAAAAACTAAGAAATGTTAGAAAGAATGAATACAGCATATCTCATTACTTATATCAATCTTTTCATCAAAATGGCACTGTTGGAACAGAGTGTGGTGGAGCACGCCTTTAATCCCAACACAAAAGAGGCAAAGGCAGGCAGATCTCTATGAGCTCAAGACTGGCCTGGTCTACATAGTGAGTTCCAGGTCATCTGGGAGACCCTATCTCAAAGACACACACACACACACACACACACACACACACACACACACACACACACACACGGCAATGTTGGGTACAGTGGCATGGATGGAGGACCCAATTTCAAAAACACACATACACAGGCCAGGTGTGGTGCTACACACCTTTAATCCTAGCACTTGGGAGGCAGAGGCAGGTGGATCTTTGTGAGTTAGAGGCCAGCCTGGTCTACACAGTGAGTCCCAGGACAGCTGGGGCTACAGGGAGACCCTGTCTCAAAAAGACACACACACACACACAACATTGGGTACAGTGGCATGGATGGAGGACACTATTCCATCTAATCCTCTATGAACAAGAAACATCCCCTATAGGCTCCAAGTATTTAAACACTTGGCCCCAGTTGGTGGTGCCATTTGTGGAGGTTTAAGATGTGCAGCCTTGCTGGAGGAAGCACATCACTGGGGGCAGGCTTTGAGAGTTCGTAGTCTTGCCTCACATCCAGCTTGCTCTCTCTGCTTCCTGTGAGTGTTTGAAGATGTGAGCACCCAACTTCCTGCTCTTGGCGCCTCTGCTGCCATGCCTTCACACTGGGCTCTTATCCCTTTGGAATTATAAGTCTCTTCCTTCTGTAAGTTGCTTTGGTTGTGGTGTTTTATCACAGCAACAGAGAAGTAACTAATACACCCTCCATGATCCACAGTCCTTTTTCCATGAGCCATATGACATCCTCATCCTGGAGTACTACTCTACCATGCCTGTCACTGGAGCTAGCTCCCTAGTTCTGACAGGCTTTGGGCCACCACTGGGGCCATTGCCTCTTCACTAGCTTAACTTCTGAAAGGGCCCCAGGCTTAGCAAACAATCCCCAGAATGCTTTCTTTTGAGGGAGAAATGAATACAGCATACTCTTGGGAAATAACTGCCCACCTCCAGGACTTTGTGTCAAGGAAGGATAAGTAGGTCTATTATTTGATTTCTCTGCTTCCACAGCACTTACACTGCATCTGTCCCATGTCCCACAGCCTCACTAATCAGACTGTGAAAGGCACTTATTAAATCTTCCTAACTTAAGCAGTTAAACCACACAATATTCCTTGATTATCATAGTTTTTTGGTACTGAACTTTTTTTTTTTTTTTTGGTCTTTTTGAGACAGGGTCTCCCTGTAGCCCCAGGCTACCTTGAACTCACAGGGTCTCCCTGTAGCCCCAGGCTGGCCTTGAACTCACAGAGATCCGCCTGCCTCTGCCTCCCAAGTGCTGGGATTAAAGAAGTGTGCCACCATGCCTGGTGTACTGGATTGTAATTAAGGTCCCCATATGAGTGCTAATCAAGAATTTTTCTCTTCCTCTGTATTAAAGGTCAGACTTGAGGGCATCACTTCCACCTCTCTCCCTCCTGTCTGATTCCTCCCACAGGCTCCAAGTTTTCAGATCCCAGGAAGTGCTCTTCAGTACAGATTTAATTTGTACTCTTTCTCCTTTACAGCCCACACCTGCTGTAAGAAATGGCATGCCAACACCATCTCATCCTCCCCTTTTTCTGCTTTCTCTGCCAAATCAACAGCTAGCGGGTAGCATCTGTAGTTTGTTTTTTTTCTCCTTATTGTAATTCTCCCCTTACATAGCAAGTTCTTTCTGGGCACACAGCTGAGCCTCAGATCCATGTTTATCACCTGCAGTAAAAACCATGTAACTGCCACCACAGCCTGCTTATCATTCTGCCTCATAATGCTACTTCAGGAACTGCAAATATATTTCATCTGCCATTTGTGGGGGGCACCCATGCACTATTATGGAGGACCCCATTCATAAAGGAGGCATTCACCCCCACCATACAGAAGAAGACAGCCTCCCTGGGACTCCCCCCAATGATGCTTCACTTTCAGATGCCTCCGCTGTGGTTGCACATCTTATCATGAATAGAAGGACGAATACAACTGTCACTACAGCAGGAGACACACCCTCCCAAGCCACTAGGGGAAAGGTAGCTTTTTTTTTTTTTTTTTTTTTTTTTTTTTTTTTCTTTGAGACAGGGTCTCCCTGTAGTCCCAGCTGTTCTGGAACTCACTATGTAGACCAGGCTGGCCTTGAACTCACAGAGATCCGCCTGACTCTGGAGTGTTGGGATTAAAGAAAAAAACACCCAGCCACCTTTCTTTTTTAAAATATTTTATTTATTATTTTTATGTGTATGAACGTATTGCTTGCATGCAAGTGCACCCGTGTTGTGCAATGCCCGGGGAGTCAGAAAAGGGTGTTTGATCGCCTAGAAGTGGAGTTACAGACTGTTGTTAGTCATCTGGGGGTGCTGGGAATCGAACTACTGCAGGTCCTCTGCAAGAGCAACCGGTACTTTTAACCGCTGAGCCATCCCTCCAGCCTTGAAAGGTAGCCATTTCAGGACTGCCTCCACACGCTTCACCCTCAGATAGGTCAACCTCAGTTGCTTGTCTTACTAGCCATCATTGGGACCATGCAACTCCCCCACCACAACTCATCTTTGGTCCTGCTGGCTCCTGTTTGAGTGTCAGCTGTGTGACTCCTACAGGAGTATGGATAAGGGGGTGAGCATGGGTGAGGGGTTACTTACAGAAGCAGGAGTGTTTCAAAAGCAGCCACCAAAAGGTCCATCCAGCATGTTGACAGCTCTGAAGCTGCATACCTGTCCACCTTGCAGGTAGCTGCAATCCTTTCCCAGCAATCATTTACTGATGATGCTGGAGAGAGGTCTCACGAATCTTGTAACTTCTGAGATTCTGCAGTTCTCTAAGTTTTCTGAGCCTGGTAAATTCAGTCTTATCCTCCCTCCTTTCCCCAAGAAGTAATGTCACAATTTGGAAGAAACCGCTACCTCACCTGCAGATGTGAGTATGTAGATATGGGGGGCAGGGGGTTGTTCATACTTGATCCTTTTAATTTTCCCTTTAAATCCATAACAAAGTTGTCTCCAAGAGGAGTTTGGAGAGGACCTGGAGGACTTGGAGTTTAGGCTAGGTGCTCTGGAAACCTACTCAGGTAAGAGAGCTGAGTAGGGATACACAGAAGAAATCCTGAGCAGTCCTGAAGGCCAGGTGAATGTACAAGACCTTCACCTTCCCCCGCCCCAGTATTATAGTTGCATAGTTTTCTCAGATGCCTTGAGTAGAGATGACAGTGGTAGTTGGAAGTGTGATTGTGCTATATGATCTTGGAACAACTGGGCTGTTGGCAAGGGAGAGTGATGCATTGGATGGGGAAGGAACTAATGCAGGGACCAAGATGTTGGTCTGAGTAAAAAAATGAAGACAGCACGAAATAAAATAATAATAATAAATAATAGCTATTATTATTTTTCTAAAACTTAGAAACATCCAGGTATGGTGGCACATGCCTTTAACCTCAGCAGACAGCATCTCTGTATGTTCAAGGCCTGGTCTGTATAGCAGGCCAGCCAGGCCAGGGCTAAATAGTGAGACCCTACCTAAAAAAAAAAAAAAAAAGTTTATATAACAACCTAGATATCCAGAATAATAGGATGGTTGAATGAATGTAGGATAAACAGATGAAAATTTATATATATTTTAGCAAATTAAATGGATGCATATTGACATGAAAAAATCTCCAGAATGTATTATAAAGTGGGAAAATATCCATATACTATAGAAATATGTGGAAAAAAAGCCTGCAAGGGTATAAATATGCATATATATTTGTGTATGTGTAGGCAAACACACATAAAACCCTGCAAGGGTGTATGTATATAAATGTGTGCGTGTGCGTGTGTGCGTGCGTGTGTGTGTACATTTTTAAATGAAAGGACAGAAAGGACGTTGGATAATGATAAAGAAGATTTGCAGCTAGGGGTGGTGGCACATACCTGTCATCCCAACACTTGGGAGGTGGAGGCGGGCGGGTCAGGAGTTTAAGAGTGGCTTCCAATATAACGAGTTTGAGTTTGCTGGACTCCATGAGATCCTTTTTCATTAAATGAAAACCAATTAGACAAAAAGATTTGAAACAACAGAGTCATTATTGAATTTATTTTATTTTAAAGATATGTATGTACACCAAGTAAATACATACTGCAATTTGTGCAGTTTGGTTTGTCTTCCACGCTGGCATGCAACATTTTGGCAGATGTGAGTGGGCAGGCCAGGTGGGCCTCGTGGTGACCCAGCTTTTTGAGAGGGATGTAGTGACTGTAGGGAGCAGGAAGAGGAGGATGTAGTGAGAAGCCTCTGATGAAGGGCTGTGTGTATGGTTCCTTGTTGATGTGAGTGATATTTTCCTTACATCTGCCAAAGAGAAGGCTGTTCCCTGTGTCATGCTCTCTCTTCATCTGCCCTATCCCTTCAAATTGTCTTGCGTGTTTTTTGAAAGAATCACTTGGTAGCAAAATTACATCAACTCCCCTGGATTCTTAGGTGTCCTGCCAGCAAATACTGGCACAAGACCACAGGTCAACTGCTCTTTTCCTTTTCTCCCAGTGGGTCTGACTCATCTTCCCCACCCATCTTCTTTTCTTTGAGTTGTGGTTTTAGAGTAGGAGAACGGGGGGGGGGGGGTGGAACCCCTTGCAAATAAGTGGTTTTCAAACTATTTAGAATCTTCAGGGTCTTTCTCTTTGGACTGTTTTAGGGTCCTTCAACTAATCAGGCATTTTCCACCAAAAAAGGAAGAAAATGTATGCTTCCCAAGTCTGCGTTACTTTACTGTTTTGGCTTTTGTTTGTTTTTGCCATTCCAGAGATAAATGAAACCAAGGGCCTTGCTCACGCTAAGCATGTTAGGCAAGTACTCAATGGGTCACAATCAAAGCCCTATGTTACTTTGTTATTGTTTTTTAGATTATTTATTGATTTAGTGTGCATGTATGCATGCAGGGGCAGTACATTCTATAGTGGAGGTCAGAAGTCAACTTGTAGGAGTTGTCTCTCTTCTTCCACAATGTGGGTCCATGGGGATTATACTCAGGTAGTTAGGCTTGGCAGCAAGCACCTTCATCTGCTGAGCCATCTCACTGGCCCCCTATGTTCTTTTTTTATGTCAGAGTTCTATATAAGATTTATTTTGAAAAGTGTTTGAACATTGCAACTTCCGATTTATTCCATGCCTCTTTGATATTTTACCCCTCTATTACTCCTTCAGAGGTAAAAGGGACCTAACAGACCAAAAGGAACCTTTCTCTTGAAGGAGTCACAGGCCACTACAGCCCATATTTACCAGCTGCCATTCACACTGAGCTTTCTAGACCCAGAAGAAGCCAAGTGACAGGCTGCCCCTTGGTTCCATGGTTGGAGGATCCTGGTCTTCCTTCCTAGATAAGACTGGATATCTGGATACTGGGCATTATTGGTTTGGGCTGGGCAGTGACCTTCATCCCAGCATTTATCTGAAAACCTGCATTAGCAAATGGGAGGAAAAGACCATCAAGAACTAAAGCAACAGTCCTTTTGACTGTGGAGAGGAGGGTACTTGGGCTGAGACTGCCCTGTCCCTTTCCTTTCTTTTCTTCTTTTTCTTTGTTTTGTTTGAGACAGGGTCTCATACTGTAGCTCAAGGTGTCCTGGAATGGACCGTGAACTCATAGCAGTCCTCCTGCCTCAGCTTCCTGAGTGCTAGGATTACCAGGTCCAGCTTTTGTTTTCGCAGTGCTGAGCACTGAAACCATGGCTTTTCATGTACCAGGTAAGAGCTCTGCCACTGAGCTACATCTTGCCTGGCCCCCTTCTTCAAAGTACACTTGATGCTAAGTGGAGCTATTATAGAAGGAACTCTATGGCAGGGTAGAGGGTGGGGAGGGATACTGGGGGAAAAGCCAGACTCCAGCTTGAAGGGAAGGCATCTAAAGACAGCTACTTTCTCAATGAATTGGAAGCCCAAAACCAAACTCAAAGATGGGAAGAACATGTGGCCCAATATGGGAGAAAGGAATTCAGCTTCTTGCTTTAACCTGAGGGCACTGTGATAGAAAACCACTTAGCAGTTTCCCAGTCTCTGTACACCCCAGACCCAGGGAACCAACCATTCTGACTCTACTTGCTTGTAACTATCAGCACAGACAGATGAATAGCAATTTGTCAGGCTAGAAGGAGAGGTCTGCCTTCTCAACTTTCCAAAATATTTTTAATCAACTCTGAGTTCTGGTTGTGAGATCTCAGGATAGAGCGTATCAAAAGGGGCTTGGACCAGAAAGGGAACTAGACCCCTGAACCATCCATGTTCTCAGGCTGGGGGAAGAGGGAAGCAAAAGCGGGCTCTGTAGGATTGAAGTAACACCTGGAATCTCTCGATTCAGGTGAGGGGTGTATGAAAAAAAATGACTTAGCAACTCTTTCACTGTGCTCCCCTCTGTGCTGTACGTAAAAAAGAGGAGGGAAGGGTATGTTTCTCTTCTTAGGATGCTAAGACATTCTTCTGCTTAAGGCTTTGTATGTACACGTGTATATGTGTGTGTGTGTGTGTGTGTGTGCGCGCGCGCATGTACATGTGTGTTTTCAAGAGAGAAGGACCACAGTCTTCTGCCTCCTGTTTTTCCTTTTCCATCTTGGGACCGCTACCCAGTGATCATTCACTGTGAGACAAGTATATGGAAGAAACATTTCCCCCTCGCTAGTGCCCAATGAGGAAGGTAGACTATGCTTAGAAATTGCTAAATACATCATCAGATACTTAGAGTGTACGACAGAGAGAGGAGAGACATAGCAGTGGCTTCTGATATATAGATACAGAGTACAAAGTACGGAGTAAGTAGAAGACATCAAACAGTACAGTCCAACAACACAGGTTGGGGAGGGAGTTAGTATCAGAGACCACAGGTTTTGCAGCATGCTGAGAGAAGAGGCCTCAGTCCCTCTTAGAAACTGGGGAAGAAAGAGAAAGAAGGTGTGAGGAACCAGCCTGCAGCCCGGTCTCTGTGTAGGAACGAGTGGCAATGGCATACACGTTGCTTTCCAGTTCTGTTCCTTTAATACCAACAAGCAGACCTCCCACCCCAACTCCCAATCAGCCCAGCCTCTGCTTGTCCACCCACAGTCCTCCCAGAATCCTCTTTCCCTTTTTTGATTCTCTGCTTCTCCCCTTCTTCCTCTGTGCCTGGCTGGCTATCCTGGGAAAGCTCTGGAGAGGTTTGACCTGGTGTAATCCAGCAGAGGACCAGCCATATTCTCTCAACTCTAGTCTGCCAAGGATTTAATGTGGAAAACAAAACTGGTCCCATGGCCCTGTTCTGGGGCTTGAAAGCTGGGCTTTAAAGCAACTGCAACAAGAAACCTGGTGACATTTGAGAACCAGGAGAGGAATTCTGCTGCTAGAGAGGATTTGGCAAGGGGAGAGGTATTGAAGCTGAGGGGTTGAAGATGGGGAGACAGCTGATATCCACCTTCACTGAACAGTACGTAAGGGCTGCTCACACTGCAGCTAAAGGAACAGAGTCAGACTGCATCATGGTCTTTGGCAGCATATGCAGATACCAGAATAAGACACAGGACTGAATCAGATATCACCTGTACAGGAGACTTGGCTCAAAACTTCTCTGTGTATCTAAGATTATTTTCCAGGGGAGGCAGAGGAAGAGGCAGAGTTGAAATGATCTCAAGTTTCCTGTTTTCTAAGGTCTGTGATGTGCGTGTATGGCTGTATTGCCTAGCCTCTCAACTTTTTTTTTTTTTTACATGTGGCAGTGACCCCTAGTGGTAGAAATCAGTACTGTGTGTGGTCATCACCAATCCAAAGGGAAGGAATTAGGGATAGGGGAAGGTCAATGTTTAGGTCACAGGAAAGCAGGAATTGATGTTGCTTTGGATTTTTAATTAGTTTTGTTTGTTTTTTTGGTTGGTGTTTTTGTTTGTTTGAGGGGGGTGTTTGTTTTTTGAGACAGGATAGCACTCTAGCCTTGACTAGCCCAGAATTTACTATGTATATATGTTTATTTTTTGTTTAACATTTTCTGGTTGTTTGTTTTTGCTTTTGTTTTGTTTTGTTTTGTTTTTAGTACTGGGGATTGAACTCAGGCACTCTACCACTAAACTACATTCCCAACCCCACAATTCATTATGTATGCCAGGCTGGTCTCGAACTCACAGAGCTCCTCCTGCCTCTGCTCCCAAGTTTTGAATCCATGAGTCTCCTGCCTCAGCCTCCTGATGCTAAGATGATAGACATGCACCACCATGCCCAGATAAAAACAGGAGTTGAAGGATAACTATATAGCAAAGGTTTGGAAATGGTTTAACAAAAAAGAAAAGCGACTGGCAAGATGGCTTAGTTGATAAGTGCTTGCTGTGCAAGCATGAGGACCTAAGCTCAGATCCCCACCACACATGCAAAAGCTGATCTGTAACCCCTGTGTGGGAAGACAGAAACAAGCAGATCCCAAGGGCTCACAGGCCAGCCAGACTAGCTGAAACGGCAAGCTCCAGATTCAGTGAGAGACCCTGTCTCAAAAAGTACAGTAGAGGGGCAAGAGAGATGATGCAGGGGTTAATAGTACTTGCTGCTCTTGCAGAGGACCCAGGTTTGGTTCCCTGAATCCACATGGCAGCTAACTCCAGTTCCAAAGAGAGCACATGCCCTCTTCTAGCCTCTGCAGGCACTGTACACATATGGTGCACTTACATCCAGCAAAACACACACATAAAATAAATATAAATAAAATACTTTAAAAAAATGAATAAGGTGGTTGGGGCTGGATAGATGGCTCAGCAGTTAAGAGCACTGGCTGCTCTTGCAGAGGACCTGGGTTCAATTCCCAGCGCCTACATGGCAGCTAACAAACATCTGTAACTCCAGTTCCAGGGGAATCCAATGCCCTCTTCTGACCTCCACCAGCATTGCATGACAGGGGTGCACTTACACACATGCAAGGAATATACTCATACACATAAAATAATAATAATTAAAAATTTAAAATAAGGCCGGGTGTGGTGGTGCATGCCTTTAGTCCCAGTACTTGGGAGGCAGAGGCAGGTGGATCTCTGAGTTCAAGACCAGCCTGGTCTACATAGTGAGTTCAGGTCAGCTGGGACTACAGGGAGACCCTGTCTCAAAAAGACAAGAAAAAAAATTAAAAATAAATAAAGTGGAGAGTGATAGAGAAAGACAGCCAACATCAACCTCTGACCTCCACATGTTCACATATCGTCAGGGGCACCCTCAGACCCACACATACCACACATACATACAAACACAAACAAAAAAAAAAACAAAAGGAGAAAAAGGAAAGAAGCAGGATAATCGAAGAGACTGTGGGCAAGATAGCAGGTGGCCAGGCCAGGCAAGGGAAATGCCTGCAGGTACCTGAAAGTGCAGACTATGCAGTCCTGAATGGGAGATTAGCTGGCTGCTGTCTCTTGGTGAAGAGGGAAAAGCTTGGCCTGGTCCTCAGCCTCATAGCCGCATGGCAGGTCACTCCTAGAGGAAGAGACACACCATGATCAGCTCTAATGTATTCCTGACATGGTCACTGCTCTGATAGCATGTTTGTGAAATAACCAAGGGGCAGGGACTATGTATGCTTTGCAGGGCAACTCAAAGCTTTGCCCAAGGTCAGAAAGTTCTCAAAGGTAGACGAGAACCCATATGCTCTGATGTTCATGACATTTCCCCCCAGATACCATAACTGGACTGGGGAGAGGCCACAGAGGTGCCTGGGAGGATAAGAGTACCTGCGATTGCCCTCATTTCCTCCTCCCTCCCCCAAAGCTCCAGAAATGTCTCAGTAGAGAAAAGCTTAATCACTTTTTCTGGTCCCCACCAGAGAACCCAGGGTTAGTGGTGACAGGTATACCTATTGTCGTTGATATCTGTGGCATTTCCTGAAGAGATGACAGTTGAGAATACAGGGTTAGAAAAAGAGACCATGTAAGGACCAGTCTCCCCAGATCCTCCCATTCCCAAACCTACCAAGAAACATGTAAAACTGTGGTACTCTATCCTCTGCTACCCAAAGCTGTACCACAATACCTTTTGATGGTGGGGTTTTTTTGTTTTGTTTTGTTTTTTTTTTTTTTTTTAGTCTTTTTGAGACAGGGTCTCCCTGTAGCTCCAGCTGGCCTGGAACTTTCATTTTTTAAAAAAATGTTTTATTTATTATTTTTATTTTATGTGTATGAGTGTATTGCCTGCATGTATGTGAGTGCACTCGTGTCATGCAATGCCGTGGAGGTCAGAAGAGGGCTTCGGATTCCCCTGGAACTGAAGTTAAGAATGGTTCATAGCTGCCATGTGGGTGCTGGGAATCGAACCCAGGTCCTCTGCAAGAGTGGTCAGTGCTCTTAACTGCTGAGCCAACTCTCCAGCCCCAAGCCTGGAACTTTCTATGTAGACCAGGCTTGTCTTGAACCTGCCTCTGCCTCCCAAGTCCTGGGGCTAAAGGCATGTGCCACCACACCTAACTAGCTGTACCATTATACTTTTTTGAAAAAAAGCCTTCCAAATCCTCACTAAGGAGATAAGTAGGTGAAGTGATAGGTGGGATCTCTTTCTTTCTCTTTCTCTCTCTCTCTCTCTCTCTCTCTCTCTCTCTCTCTCTCTCTCTCTCTTCCCTCTCCCCTCTATCCTCCCCACCCACACTCTCTCTGAGGTAAGGTCTCATTGTGTACCCTGGATGGCTTGGAATTCCCTATATTCCCTGTGTAGACCAGGTTAACCTCAAACTCAGAGATCCACCTGCCTCTATTGGGATTAAAGGCATGTGCTACCACACCCCACCAGGGAATCTACTCAAGAAGTCAGTGGGCCCATATGGATCTTCTCACCACTCCACTCTCCCCTCCCCATCCCCCATGCCAGGAATGGACCATAAGGACATCACACTAGACAAGTGCTTTACCACTGAGCTGTACCCTGACTTTATCTTTTTATTTGACATCCTGGCACACTATAAAGGTTCAGTTAATGTTTGCTGTAAACTAAGGCCACTTTTCTTACACCTCTCAATGTGCCCTGGGGATCCAAAGAGCTGGGATCTTTGTCACTCACCATTGTCCATGTTGGCCTTCTGGTAGGAAGCCAAGGGGCCACCAGAGGCTGTGGCTCCACTGCTGGCACAGGAGTTAGCAAAGCTGGATAGAACAGAGGAGACATGTAGCTTCCGGCACCCACCATCCATGATTCTGAGGACCACTATGCCCACGCTTACCCCCAACCACGCATCTTTCCCATCCCCAGAGAACAGAAGCCAGCAATCATGGTGGAGGCAGGGAGGGCAACGCCCATCTCCTAAATTGTAAGGCATAAAGTTGAGAAAAGGGTTGGAAACAAAGTTACTCAGGGAAACAATTAAATCTCAACCAATACCTGACCCAGACCTAAGCCTCCTAGGGCCCAGACGGCCTTGGGCTGGGATTCACATTCATGGTCACTCACTACATATCTGAGGTGGAGCTAGGTGCAGCCGGCAGGTACAAATTCTGGTAGTTCTGGAAGAGGCTGTTGGTGTAACTAATGCACTCTGGGCTCCGGGTGCCATAGGGGTTGGTGGGTGAGGAGGCTGGGTAGTGGCCAGGACGCACAGGTTTGGCTGCAAAAGAGAAGAAACAACTGTGAATAGGCTGTTTGTTACCCAGAGTTGCTGGGGTTGAACTGAGATGCTCATAAGATAATTTATGGCTCTTTTTGGTGGGGAGGCTGGGGGCTAGAAGCAAGCATCTACTTGTTTGGCATTTAGGAACTGGCTGAATTGTTCGAAGTGGTAACTGTCTTCACCTACAGACAAGCACTCACCGATCTGGGCAGAATGGCCCCGCTTGCCCGAGCTCTTGTACCGCACAGCCTCCTTGATGCGGTCCACCTCCTGCTGGTAGCGGCGCTTGTCCTTCATAGCTCCCTCCTTGGCCTCTTTCAGTGCACCCTCCAGGGCCTTAACTCTCTCAGCCGTAGCCCTAAGTCGTTTTTCCAGTTTAGGAAGCTCACAACGCAGATCTGCATTGTCACGTACCAGCTATGGAGTGAGCCAAATGAAAGGGACCAAGGAGAAAAAAGCCAGTGACCCAAGACAGAGTCACCCAGTGGAGTACGGGGGTTGAGGGTGAGGAGAGAGAATGAAGAAAAATCAGAACCATGTCATTTCCTGGAAAGACCACCTTCTTCTCTTTAGGTAATGTGCTGTTCTGGCCAGTTCTTTCTTTCTCCTTGCATCATTTTCTAAGCAACAGAAGCTGCCATCTCCACTACAGTTCAGAACACATGTGACAGTGTCCTGTTTCGGGTTCCATCTGGCCCGGACATTCCCTTCCATTGTATGTCACAGCCTATGCCAGACCAGGAGCTCCAGGCCCAGATGGGGATGAAGCACTTCCTTCCCCTGAGATGGCTGTGTAGGCATGCAAAGAGAGGCAAGAATATGTGGCAGTCTGGAGAGTGGACACAGGACTGAGAAGGGTACAGGTGGATGCAGTACAGAGCAGGAGCAGAAGCTGGAATTCAGAGACCACCACACATCCACACAGGGCATCTCACAAAAAGGAGAGAAAATGTTTGTGGTCACACAAACATTTGTGCTCTTGATCTTCGCATACCATGCCCTCCTGGGCTGTCCCCCAACCACCGACACCCCATTTAAACTATGCTACAGTATGGTAGCAACCACCTTGCAGCCAAACCTTTTATAGGGTCCACACAATAACTGGGGCATTTGAGAGTACAAAAGGAGCACAGCCTTGGGGGCATCGAGCAAGTCTGCACAGCAGAGATTGTGGTGGGGAAAGGGACAGAGCTAAAACCTTCTATGCACTTTTAATTTGGACAATTTAAGGCTAATATAATTTTTCTGTGATGGTATTTAGCTTAACTGGTAATAACACTGAGAGTTAAGAGTCTGCTGAGAAGCTGGGCATGGTTGCCCACACCTTTAATCCCATATTTGGGAGGCAGGGGCAGAGGCAGGTGGATCTCTGTGAATTTGAGGCCAACCTGGGCTACATAGGGAGTTCCAGCTGAGGAGTTTTTACAACTCCTTTTTTTCCTTCATAGACTCATGTCTGCTGAGTAGGACATTGTGGTAAGTTCCTCTGTTTAGGGGAGCAATATTTGGAGTTTAGGACTTAGAGCAGAAAACAGGAGAGAGAGAGAGAGAGAGAGAGAGAGAGAGAGAGAGAGAGACTCACTATGTAACCCAGGCTGGCCTGTGTAGCTTTGGCTAGCCTCAGCCTTCAGATCTTCCTGACTCAACTTCTAGAGTGCTGGGATTATAGGCATGTGCCCTTTGTTTTGCTTTTCTTTCTTGAGATAGGGTTTCATGTAGCCCAGGTTACCCTTGAACTTGCTATGTAGCTGAGGATGATCTTGAACTTTTGATACTCCTGCCTCTACCTCCCAAGTATGCATCATCATACCTGACTTTGATGAATTATTTTTATTTTATGTGTGTATTTTGCCTGCACATATGGAAGTGCACTCATGTCGTACAGTGCCCTTGGAGGCCAGAAGAGGGAGTCAGATCCCCTGGAACTGGAGTTACAGATGGTTATTAGCTGCCATGTGAGTGCTGGGAACCAAACCTTGATGCTTTGCAAAAAAAGCCAGTGCTCCTAACTGCTGAGCCATCTCTCTAGTCCCCACACTTGATTTTATATGTACTGGGGATTAAACCTAGGGCTTCATGATAATCTAGGCTAACACTCTACCAACTAGGCTACATCCTAGCATGTTTTTAAAAAAATATTTATTATTATTATTACTATTATTATTATCATTATTATTTTTTTGTTGTTGTCTTTTTTGAGACAGGGTCTCCTTGTAGCCCCAGCTGTCTTGGAACTCACTATGTAGGTCAGGCTGGCCTCAAACTCACAAATATCCTCCTGCCTCTGCCTCCCAAGTGCTGGGATTAAAGGCGTGCGCCACCACACCTGGCCCTATTGTTTATTATTTTTTTAATTTTTATGTGTATGAGTGTTATGCCTGCATGTAGGTAAGTGCACCTATGTCATGCAGTGCCCGCAGAAGACAGAAGAGGCTGTTGGATCCCCTGGAACTGGAGTTATGGATAGTTGTTAGCTGCCGTGTGGGTGCTGGGATTCAAACCCGGGTCTTCTGCAAGAGCAGTCAGTGTTCTTAACTGCTGAGCCATGTCTCCAGCCCCCATTACCTCCACATGGTAAGAGTTATGCAATTTGGGAGTCTTTTACATAGACCCACTGAAGAAGTACCCCAATTGCCTCACCCTATGTCCCTGTTCAGCATGGAAGAAGCCAGAGCGGTCTGCATCCCGATTCCCTATCTGCAAGCTGGGTAACTTCTTCAGAGGATGGTGTGGTAAGAATAGGAAGTAGGAATTGGCTAGGTAGTTAGGGTAAAAAGACCCCACTGAAAAGTATCCAATTTCTTGGCTAAAAGTCAAAATGTCCTTGGGCCTCTCAGCAACATACTCCATTCCAAAGGCCAAAAATGTTGAAAGTATTTGGGAGCTTTTACCTAATCCTTTAAAGATTTTAGGGTTGCCAGGCGTGGTGGCGCATGCCTTTAATCCCAGCACTTGGGAGGCAGAGGCAGGCGGATCTCTGTGAGTTCAAGGCCAGCCTGGTCTACAAGCATCATACTCAGTTCCAAAGGCCAAAAATGTTGAAAATATTTGGGAGCTTTTATCTAATCCTTAAAAGATTTTAGGGTTACCTCTTCAGAGGGGGTAATATTAGTGTAGTAAAAAGTCCCATAAAAATAAATAAATAAATAGAAGAAGAAAGAGTACATGAAGTCATCAGAAAAACGTGATGGGAAGATATATGGGAAGAGTTGGAGAGGAGGGAGTGGGCACGGATCTGATCAAAACACCTTATATGCATGTATGAAATTCTCAATAAATTATTTAAAAAAAAAGTTTAATATACATTTGTATTTAGTAGTAAAGTGAACACATAAGAATAAAAATAGAATGGCAGCCTGGACATGATGGCACAAGCCTTTAATCCCAGCACTCAGGAGGCAGAGGCTGGTGGATCTCTGTGAGATCGAGGTCAGCCTGGTCTACATAGTGAGTTCCAGGTCAGCTGGGGCTACAGGGAGACCCTGTCTCAAAAAGACCAAAAAATTAAAACAATTTTAAAAATTAAATGGCAAACATGATATAGAGATTTCCTAAGGCTAGCCTTCCCCAGGCTTTGGTCCTAGCACTGGGAAGGCAGAGGCAGGTGGATCCCTAGGAGCTGGAGACTAGCCAATTAATTTACATAGTTCCAGGACAGCCAGGGCTACATAATGAGGCTCTGCTTCAAAAAGTTAATTAAGTAATTAAATTTAATAACAAAATTAAAGATTTCCTAGCTGTCTTACAATTTTTTCAGTGAAGTCGTTACACCATTTCATAACAAGGGAAGGAGGGAAAGATGATAGTAAAGCTCTCAGCAGGTCCAAAGAAAATAAACCCTATAGAGTATCGCTGAGTCTAGGTTTGGCAAGTTTTCATTTAAAAATGATACTCTGATTATTTACTATATAGAGTGGGCATCAGACTGGGAGGAAAAGAAGTTGAAATTCTTGGCTAGTGAGCATGAATCTAGATGAAGTCTGCAGATGGACTTGAAAGGAAGGGAAGGAAATTTAGGTTGGGGCTTCCTTTGTGAATCAATTAGAAAGTCTGTGTCAATGCTCAGCATCAGCATGGACCAGCTGCTTCTGCTGTGCGCACACCAAAAATTTCCTGTCCTGATTCCTCTGGACTGCCCTTCCACTTGCCCAGCCCATACTTCTGAAACCCAGTCTTCCACCTAAGGATCAGCAGCAGCCAGGAGGTGAACAACTCAGTACAGAACTTCTGACTGGTCCCGACTAGGGACTGACTGGGTCATGTGAAGGACATCATTTAATGTCCCGCATGCCTGCCCCAGTGAGGCAAATAGAGTTCTTTCCATGAGGGAAAGCCCAATTCGCTTGTTTTTCTTATATCCCTGGCTGAAGTGTGGTGCTGTCATACCCCACCCCGCCCCAGTCCTAGAGACTGCACCCAGGGCCTTGTGCATGTTAGGCAAGCACTCTACTACTGAGCTACATCACAGCCTCTGGTATCCATCTTCGACAGTTACACCCTTTGTCTCTTCACCCTCCATACATTTCAACTTCTCCCTCCATCTCTCCGAGGTAGGCCTGGGAAATTCCACTTCAGGCAAAGATAGGCCAAAAATGTTGAGAAGGGAAAACAGACATGGACACAAAAAACAAGGTACAAGTAGAAACAAGAAGGAGCTTTGATGCAGGAAAAGAGAACAGATTTAAAAAATAGAGAGAGGCCGAGCATGGTGGCGCATGCCTTTAATCCCAGCACACAGAAGGCAGAGGCAGGTGGATCTCTGTGAGTTCAAGGCCAGCCTGGTCTACATAATGAGTTCCAGGACAGCTGGGGCTACAAGGAGACCCATTCTCAAAAAAGACCAAAAAAAATAGAGTCTCACCTAACTATGCAACCCAGGCTGGTCTAGAACTCACTATGTAGCTTTGGCTTGCCTCAACCTCCAGATTCCCTGCTCCCCATATATATATATATATATGTGTGTGTGTGTGTGTGTGTAATATATATACATATGCATACATACATATACATATATTAATATATAATATAGACACATATATGCATATATAGATATATAGTAATATGTAATATACACTATATATTAAAAGGGGAAAGTAAGGATAATAGGCAATGCAGTCTTCCTGAATTCAAGGGCCTTTCAGGATTTGGGTAGCACAGAGACCTGGCCTCAGAAGTTCTCTTCACCCCTTTTCTGGACTCTCACCTGTTTGTGAACCTTTGTAAGCTGTTCCAGGTTGTTCTCAAGAAAGGAAATCTTCTGCTTTTGGGAATGAATCCCCCCACTGTCTTCGGGCTCCATTTCTGCACTCTGCTTAGACGGACGGGAAGAAAGATATGGCTGTCCTGAGGCCAAACAGGTCCTACTTGGGCCAGGCCAAACAACCCCAAGGAGGGGAGGAGATGGGGCTGGGGAGACCCGTGGTTGGCACTTACTTTCTTGACTCGAGTCGTGACGTCTTGAACGAACAGCTTTCGAAGGTTGTGGAGGGTCTGGAGTTCCCGGGCCTGGAGGAATAATGAAAAATTGGGGATAGCGAGATACCAGGTCTACGTTCTCCCTCCCAAATCATTGAAACCTTCAGTCTATAGCATCATGTGAGTCATTCATCCTTCAGGTACAGACATATACTGATTATGCCACAGACTTACAGTAACAGTGGAAGAAGAACAGAGTCAGGAAGAAATTGGGGGGGATGGGGAGCCCTCTTCCACTCTTTTAACTTGGCACAGAAAGAAACTACTCACAACTGTCTCCTCCAGACCCTTGAGATCCTGCTTGGACTGCTCATGTCGCTCGTAGAGAAATCTGCAGGAAGAGAAGTAAAGGGAAAGCAGGAAACAATTCCCTTAGGACTCTCCCTCTCCCTCTTCGACCAGTCCTTTGAGCTCTACTTTATTAATAACTTATTATGCAAATTATTCATGTTTACTATGCAATAGTCAGAAAAGAATTTTTAAAAGAAGGCTAAGAAGATATTTTATACAATCCCATGATTCCATTATTGACATAAAACTACCAGGTGTCCATCCTTACCAACTCTTTTTTCTATGCATATATCCATCCATGTACAAAGTGTCATGGATCATACCATCCATAGTGTCTTGGAACCTGACTTTCACACCTAACAGAATATCACAAGTTTCTCCATCCGTCTCAGCAGCAACTCAACAGCTCACTCCCAATGGCCTCCCTTTTTCCTCCCCACCCCATCATGCTTGCTTCTTGTGACTGTTCATATCAAGGTCACCTATGTATCCTGCATCTGTAAACATGTCTATGCGCTAGTTCTGAGACCACCAATGAGTGTGTCACTCACGTCAGCTCCTGGAGCTTAGTGCTCTTCTCATGTTCTTCGCTCTTCAGCTTCTCATAGTCAGCTTGAAGTTTCTCTAGCTCTAACTGCAGCTTCTGGTTCAAGCTACAGAGGGCAGGGGCATTGGCGAGATAAAGAGGTGTTAAGGAGAGAAAAGGGAAGCCCCATCCCTCAAACAGTGCCTTCTTCAGTGAGACCCGATATGTTTCTTCAGACACAGGCTACCATTTCCAAGACAACAGGGCCCCTTGCGTGCTCCAATTACAAAAGCCTCAAAGACAAGGACCAATTCTAACTTGTGTCCCTTGAAGTTGGGCTGCAAAGTTGTGACACTGATGAGGGAATGACCACGCATTTTAAAGATTCAGAAGGATGATGGAGTCAGCACGGCAAGATAAGAGGACCAGGTGGAGACTGGAGTCACCCAGGACCCTTACTCTTTGAGCTCATCAATAGTCTTCTGCTTCTCATTGATCTCGTCCCTGAGGCGGGCCAGCTGCCGGTGATGGGCCTCCCGGTGACTCTCCATCTGCAGTTCCAGAGCCTTCTGCAAACAATCCCACCTCATGCTCAGAGCCAGACTCCCAGACCTGAGCTCTGTGGTAACTAGCACAGGCCTTGCCCTGCCAAGTACATCACCCCCACACCTTCCCTAGTCACTGACCTTCACTTCATCTGCATCCTGTGTGTCTGGTTCCTTGTCTTTCAAGGCCACTTCATGGACAGTTTCTAAGTTAAAGAGAGGAAGACAGCTTATATCAAACCAACCTCCTTCAGACCGCACATGTGGCCAGAGCTCCAGGCAGAGCAGGGGATGGGCTCCCAGAGATATTCTGGAATGGGACAGTCCAATTGACTCAGCAGGGACAGAGAACAAGAGAGGGTTTATGGTTCATGTAAAATGAGCTGCATGCAAAAACCTGGCTAAACAGTACTTGAGCTCAGTGTTAAGGAGTACATGAGCTGACACCCAGCACACGGGCTTTGGGTGAGGGGCTGTCAAGTAATTTCTTCTGATGTTTGGGACATTCCTTTCCTGCCTCTTGTGGGATATCAAGACCCAAGAATGGCTGGGATAGAGGTCTAAGAAGGCCTCACCCTGGGCCTGAAGCTTGGCCAGCTCATCGCTCAGGGAGTCATAGGACTCTTCCAGGTGCCGTTTCTTCAGCTCCACACTCTGCATGTATTCCGTAAGTGAGCGGATCTTGGCCTCGTGCTGGTAGAGGATGGTTGGTGTGAGGAAGGAGACACAAAGTGCAAAGGATGTGACTCTAAACTCTAGTTGTCCTCCTGAACCAGCCTCTCCTGCTGTACCTTCCATGAAGATGCAAGGCCAGGGCCCATTCCTAAAGAGACCCTTCCTTTAGACAATCAAAGGACAGAGTCCCCTGAGCTTCCCATCTTTGGTCTGGATCCTCCTGACTGCCACCCCAGCTCTGCAGTCCTTGATCTCTATTCACCCAAGGCAACTGATGTAAAAGTGGGTGTTAGGCATTTTACCCATGCATAACTATTGAGTAGCCTTCTTTTTTATACTCTGGCTGTCATCCTCAGACACTCACCTGTGAGATGAGCAGCTGGCAAGATGACAGCTCCCTACCAGTCACCTCCATCTTGCGATGACATTCCACCTGGAGGTTCTCCAGCTGCCGACACCGTTTAACCACGGACTTGACCTCCGATTTGATTTTGCTGATGTAGAGTCGGGCCACAGTGAACTCCTCCTCAATAGCCCCACTGATCTCCACTGGCTAAGGGTGAGCAGAGGAGGAAGAGCTGCTTCTCCACCGAGGAAAGTCTTTCCCTATATCATTCCCCCTTCTGCCCACCTCCTGTACACCTTGCACAAGTACCAAGAAATTCCTGAACACCCTTTAGCAGCTCCCATCAATGACATGTCACTTCAAAGCCTCTGTTCGCATTCAAACATCCAATTCTGATGGTTCTCCCCTTCCACCTTAAAAAGTAATTTGACTTTTTGTTTTGCTCACTATGTTACCCAAGTTGGTTTCAAATTCCTGGGCTTAAGTGGTGCACCTGCCTCAGCCTCCTGAGTAACTGGGACTACAGGAGCTCACCATTGTACACAGGCATCCAGGTCAAGGGTTTTTATTCCCCTCCCCTCCACAGACAAACTGGTTCTGCCTGATAATCCAGATGCACAGATTTGCATGTTACTCCTACCCTCTAGATCCTGCCCTGGGAATATCTCCATAACGTCTATCTGAACCCTTTAGAATATGTCTTCTCAGTTGGACCTATGCAAACCTCTAATAGGTTTTTTTTTTTTTTTTTGAGTCTAATCTGAAGACATATCTGGATCTTGCTATGTAATCCAGGCTATCTTAGAATTCTTGATCCTCCTATCTCAGTCTCCTAAATGCTGGGATTACAGCTGTGTGATATCACATCTGGCCCTTAGAGGGGACGAATTGTCCCACTTTGCCTCTCTCTTCAGTACCCAGGACAAGAATGACCTGAACCAATACTGCTGTCTCTCCACTCACCAGCTTAATCTCACCGTTGCCCACGATGACGCTGAACTCACTCAGATCCTTCATCAGCCCATTCAGTACCTCAGCAATCCGTTTTCGCTGGTGTCCACTGACCTCCTGGAGCCGCTGCAGCTCAGACTCCAGGGACAGCATAGTGGCCTAGGTACAGTCCCTAAGGTCATTAACATTGTCATCATCCTGCTCCCCTTCCCCAGCTTGGACAGAGGCCTCTCATTTCAAGCATGGCCCTGAAGGCTGCTGCCATGGAGAGAACACAGACTGGAGGTAGGGCAAAGCACAAAGGCATGGCAGGGGAGGGCAGCAGTACAGAGGTGCCAACATCAAATAACAATGGCAGGAAACAGAGGTGCCCTCAGATGCAGAGCTGTTCTGTGGTTAGAGAGCCCTTGGACCACCAGTCAGCCACTTACCACCTTCTGGGACAATTCATCCACCAGAAGCTGGTTCTGCTGGCTCTTCTCCTCCACCTCCTGGGACTTCTGGTCATAGTTCACGGCCAGCTCCTCCAGGGCCTGCAGTACTTCCTTCACCTCATCCTTTGCAGCATCGTTCTCCGATTGCAGGTGGCTCAGCTCCCGCTGGACCTTCTCATTGTCTCCCCGAGTAGACACTAGCAACTTCAAAGGAGAGGAGGGATGTGTGAGGAAGCATGCTGTCGGTGACCACCTCTGTGACCTCTAGGTCTGTATGTGCTAAGCCTCCCCATGCCACATACCTGTAGTCAAGGGGAAGGAGATATTACACTTCATTAACCAGAACAGAAAACCACCCAGACTTCATCATCTGGGCTTTAAGACAACACCAATGGAGTTTCCAGATTTGAACAGTTTTTGTGAGTGACTAGGCCCACAATTTTTTTTTTTTTGAGATGAAATTTCATATATCTAACACTTTGTAGTCAAGAATGACCTTAAACTTTGGATTCTCCTGCCCTGTAATCCTGGGATTACAGATGTGTACCAGATTAAAGGTGTGTTCTGCAACACCTGGTTTATACTGTGCTGTGCTTGGGATCAACCCCAGGGCTTCAGGCATGCTAGACGGGGACTCTATCAGCTGAGCTACATCCTCAGCCCCTTCCATCTGATTTTAAGGAAGCCTTTTTGATTTGCAGGGATGAACACAAACCCCTTTCCTCTGGCATCTCATTCTCTCCTTTTACCTCCTCCTGGTCCAGCATTTGCTGTTTCAGCTTCTCAATGAGTTGGCTCTGCTGATTGATCTCATCATCCTGTCAGAGAAAAGAGGGAGATGGTGAGGGAAGCTAAGTCCTCAACATTAGAGTTCTGAGCCTGGAGGGAGAGGCAAGACACCGATTAAAGTCCAGAGTAAAAAGAGGTCTTGTCCCTGACTTCTTTCCCAGACTCCAGCACTTAACTTTGAAATTCCTTTCTTCCAGGAAGTTGGTATAACCTTAACAATACAAAGCAAAGGCCTTTAAATAGATCCATATATACATATCCTTTCGCCTAGAAATTCACTTTAGCTTTCTATTCTAACCAAATCATTCAAAAGCAAAAAAAAAGGCGGGGGGCGGGGGATGTGTGGACTCATTTGAAAGAGTCACATGCAGCTAAGGCTGGCCTTGAAATCACTACGTAGTTAAAAATGGCCTTAAAGTCTTGCCTGTCTCTAGTTCCTAAGTGTTGGGATTCTAGGTATGTGCTACTTCACCTATTGTGTGTGTGTGTGTGTGTGTGTGTGTGTGTGTGTGTGTGTTGTTTGTGTCCATGGTTGTTGGTTGTTGGGTTTTTTAATTTTTTGTTGGATGGTCGGTTGGTTGGTTGGTTGGTTTTGCTTTTTGAGACAAGGTCTTCCTGTAGTCCCAGCTGGCCTGGAACTCGCTATGTAGACTAGGCTTGTTTTCAGTCTCACAGAGAGCCACCTGCTTCTGCTTCCTAAATGTGGGATTAAAGATGTGCACTACCATGTCCGGCTGTTTTTTTTTTTTTTTTTTTTGAGACAAGGTCTCACTGTGTAGTCCTGGCTGACCTGCAACTCTCTATGTAGACCAGGTGGGCCTTGAGCTCCCAATCTTCCTGCCTCAGCCTCCCAAATGCTGAGATTACAGTTATGAACATCACACCTGGCTCCAAAGCAAAACCTTATGCATAACAAGCAAATGCAGTTGGATAAATGGATTCTCAGGTGCTTTGCCTGTAGGTATGTAAGTAAACCACATGCATATAGTGCCCATGGAGGCCAGAAGAAAGTATCAGATCCCCAGAACCTCAATTTACAGACAGTTGTTAGCTGCCATGTGGGTGCTGGGAACTGAATCCAGGTTCCCTGCAAGAGCACCGGTGTTCTTAACTATTGAGCCATCTTTCCAACCCCTTTTCTTATTTTTTTTCAGGTAACTATTTTTTTATATTTTATTTATTATTTTTATTTTATGTGTATGAGTGTATTGCCTGCATGCACGTGAGTATACCCGTGTCGTGCAATGCCGCAGAGGTCAGAAGAAGGCTTTGGATTCCCCTGGAACTGGAGTTAAGGACTGGAGTTAAGCTGCCATGTGGGTGCTGGGAATCAAACCCAGGTCCTCTGCAAGAGCAGTCAGTGCTCTTAACCACTGAGCCACCTCTCCAGCCCATCAGGTAACTATTTAAAATAACTTTTTTTTTTCCAGACAGGGTCTCATATAACCCAGGCTGGCCTCAAATTCTCTATGTAGCTGATAATAACCTTGAACCTCTTCTTTTTTTAAATTTTATTTATTATTTTTATTTTATGTGTATGAGTGTATTGCCTGCATATGTGTAAGCACACCCATGTCATGCAATGCCTGAGGAGGTCAGAAGAAGGCATCAGATCCTCTGGAACTGGAGCTACAGATGGTTGTTAACCACCATGTGGGTGCTGGGAATCAAACTCAGGTCCTCTGCAAAAACAGTCAATGCTCTTAACCACGGAGCCATCTTTCCAGCCCCAGACTTGAACTTCTAATACTGCTGCGTACACTACTTCCAGAGCGCTGGTATTACAGGCATGTGCCACTATGCCTAGTTTTACATGGTGCTAGGGATTGAACCCAAGGATTCATGCATGCCAGGCAAGCACTCTACCAACTAGGCTATATCCCTAGCCTAAAAGAAAACAAAAACTTTTTTTTTTTTTTTTTTTGGTCTTTTTGAGACAGGGTCTTCCTGTAGCTCCAGGTGACCTGGAACTCACTATGTAGACCAGGCTGGCCTTGAACTCACAGAGATCCACCTGCCTCTGCCTCCCAAGTGCTGGGATTGAAGGTGTGTGCCACCACACCTGGCCAACAAAAACCTTTTTATGAAGAATTATTAATAAAGTGAAAAATTACTCATAATGCAATGCTAACTGAAAAAACTAGAGCCAGTCATGATGGCACACACTTGTAATCCCAGCACTTAGGAGTCTGAGGCAGGAGGATTGAGAGTTTGAGGCCAATCTGTACTATGAGACCCATCTCCAAAATAAATAAATAAGGGGTTGGGGATTTAGCTCAGTGGTAGAGTACTTGCCTAGCAAGTGCAAGGCTCTGGGTTTGGTCCTCAGCTCCGAAAAAAAAAAATAAATAAATAAATAAATAAATAAATAAATAAATAAGAAAAAATTGGATGCAAATTATCTCTACAGTAGAAGTCAGCTGCATGATGCATGCGCAAAGAACAGTAAACTATTAACAGCATTCTCACTAAATGATAAATGTATGTCTTTTGCTTTCTTCTGTTCCTTTTAAAATGTATTTTCTGCATCTTATATAATGAGTTTTTATTCCCTTTATTTTATTCTATCTTTTTGAGACAGGGTCTCCCTGTAGCTCCAGCTGGCCTGGAACTTGCTATGTAGACCAGGCTGCCCTTGATTTCTGAATCTGCCTGTCCCTGCCTCCTGAATACTGGGATTAAAGGCATTCACCACCATGCCTGGCTTTTTATTCCTTTTAAAGTCAGAAAAAAAAAGTAGAACAAGATAACTTTTTTCTTTTTTTTGGTCCTTTTTTGAGACAGGGTCTCCTTGTAACCTCAGCTAACTTTGAACTCACTCTGTAGACCAGGCTGGCCTAGAACTCACAGAGATCCACCTGCCTCTGCCTCCCAAGTACTGGGATTAAAGGTATGTGTTACCACGGCCAACTCTTAACATTTTTTTTAAGACAGGGTCTCCCTGTAGCCCCAGCTGGCCTGGAACTCACTATGTAGACTGTGCTAGGCCAGAACTCACAGAGATCCGCCTGCCTTTGCTTCTCAAGTCCTGGGAGGAAAGCCACATGCTACCACCTTGACCAAGCTAACTTAAAAAGTTTACATTTATTTATCTATCTGTCTATCTATCTATCTATCATCTATCTATCTATCTATCTATCTATCTATCATCTATCTATCTATCTGTCTATCTATCTATCTATCTATCTAATCTACCTATCAATCATCTATCATCTATCACCTATCTATCATCTATTATCTATCTATCTATCTATCATCTATCATCTATCTCTATCATCTATCTCTCTCTCTATTATCTATCTATCTATCTATCTATCATCTATCTATCTATTTATCTATCATCTATCTATCTATCTATTTATCTATCTATCT